AACACCAATTACAGCTTCGACTATGCGAATCTATTTATTTCAAGCATACTCTGTTTATATACCAGACAGACAGACCACATCACACCATAAAATAGAAAATAATATTTGTACAAGATCAAGCCAAATGTGGTTGTCAACGTGGGAGACAATAATTAATAAACTGAATATAATTTAGGTACAATAATTGGTATAATGATAATCCATAAGTCAGAATAAAGCTTATAATAAGATGAATATAGATATACACAATCTAATTACTTATTATAAACAAACATGGGTAGTGGCTAGCAGTGGAATCCAGGATGCGCGTTTCATCTTACTTGGGACTCTTCAGATGGATGTACCTGCATCTCAGAGTTGGTGTTCACTTTGGGACTCGAACCCAGTACCCTCGCTTCGAATGCCATCGCGTTATCCACTCAGCAAATGAGTCTTGATAGCCACTTGCTTGTGCAATGGGGTGAAGTTTAAATTCATTTACTATTGTTCGTTTGAATCTTCCCATCGATGTGTTGGGTACATCCAGCTGACGAGTCCCAAATAGGACAAAACGTGCGTCAAACTGGATTCCACTGCTAGTCACTATCCATCTTTATTTACAATGCTTGTGAATTAAAGCTATATGGAGGCATACGCACAGTATGGACATATGTCAATTAGAGACTGACCAGTTGCAATCCTAACGCATCGATGGGAAGATTCAAACAAACAATACTAAATGAATCACTGATACAGTTCGTTATAATAATAAATGTTTCCATTACAACAACTGCATTCTCTTCATAAAAGTAGATCAGTACAGGTTAATCGTTCAACATGACAAGATAAACAAATCTGTGAACATTTATTGTATTATGTAAGAGATGAATGTCAGAAGACGAAAGAATAACAAAACTGTTATAATTGTATTTCGGTAATAAACTACCCAGCTACTCCTATTGCTTAGTATTCTTATACAATGATACTCGTCAAGACCCCAAAATCAGAACACGTTGGACAGGAACGAAATTGTATTCAAATATAACAATGGTAGGTGAACAGCAATCACTGGTTGGAATAACGTTCATATATTTATAGTATATACATAAGAAACTTCTAGATGCTTCTTCAATAATCTGCCAAGGCTGATTGGTTTAGGATAAGCCAATCAGCGTGCGCCGTCACGATCATGCACATAACATGCCTTAATCCGGTTTATTTCTCGCTAACAAAAACATTAGAAGGTTCGCTCAATCAAACTTCAACCTACACAGAAGAATATTTGTCGAATAATAAAATCTCAAATTACTTCATCATATAAGCATATTTTATCTTTGAAATCCAATTTAATTAATAGTCTAAACATGTTCCACTAAATTGAGTTGAAAAAATTTTATATAATTAAGATCGTGAGTCAATTGAAGCTAGACCATCATGGAAAATTTGAAAGCACTGAACAGCCGTTTCGTCCTATTGCGGGACTGACTCCTCAACAGTGTGCATCCACAAAATTTATCTGATCACTTCAATGTAACACATCCAAATCTTTTGAGAATAAACTACTAAAAAAACCCTAGTGGAAGAAATAATATATGAAGAGTTCCCTGAACTTCCCGAAGAATATAGCCATAATCTATCAAGTATAAAAAGTCCGCCTATAGCTCCTCCGAGGGCTACTGCCGGTCATAAGCCCGGGTATAAAGCTTAACAAAATTGAACGTTAAGCTTTCTCTCTTGGATTTAGATTTCATGTCCCATAAAAAATCTCCACAAAATTCATATGCAAACATAATTTGAAAGTCAGTACCAACAGAATACTGACTTGAAACCTACCGACGATGACAGAAAAAGATGGTTTGAATCTAATGTGATTGATATTACAAATCAGTACTATATTTCTGCAACCCCACATTCAAAACATTTGACTGAGGAACATATGTAAGCACTAAAGAATTTACAAGAGAGTAATAAGATTATTATAATGAAACGAGATAAAGGTTTCAGTGTCGTAATAATGAACCGAAAAGTCTTTAAATATAACATGTCTCAAATTCTCAGAGATACATCAAGATTCCAAATCGACCAATGTGCAACAATCAAGAACGAAGTCAATCAGCACCCTTAGGAATTTTAGAAGAAGGAACTAATTAATAGTTTCACTTGCAGCAATATGAAGGTAAAAAGCTTTCACAAACCATAGAATACCAAACAGTTAATAACGATTATATTTGTGTAGGTAATTGTAGTTTCAGGTTGTATGTGGCTGATAAGAAGCACTGTGAACTAGACTGATGAATTCTGATAAGTCTTGTTGATTGAACGCTATATTCGGATCCTAAGCTAGTTTCGTTAACCCCCCCCCCCAAAGCTAGAATTACACAGCTACTTGAACACGAGAGAAAAGGCGCAAAACATGCGGGAAGCACTTTACTCCAAATGTTCATTCACGTACAGAAAATATAGGGTTTTTATAGTATTTCAGAAGTCCTTGGATTTTTTTGAAAATTCTAGAATACTACTAAGCATAGTAACAGTGTAGTGTTTAGCCAATGAAAAAACTCTACATGTGACTATTCACTTTCGTAATGTTTCTAGTAAAACTTCTAATCAAAGGCTGATTGGATAAAATGCTTCTTAATATTTCCCTGAGTTTGTCATGTCTATTGCGAGAAGTTTTCAGGATCGTTCAAACAAATTCATTTTATTGTACAAACCTTATTGCTCTTGCTCTGTTTAAATTTATCATTGGATTAGGTTGTATGAAATTGTTAGGTCCATTGATAACAGATATTATTCCGGGATATCTTGACAACACTATGCTTAAACAGACGATTAGCCAAACGATAATGTTGATAACACATTTATTGTCTGTAATAATAAACAGCATTCAATCCGCTTGCTAAAACTCTTCAATAATACTTATCCTAACATGCAATTTACTATGGAACTAGAACAAAATGACATATTCCACTTCCTTGATGTTGCCATAAAACTTAGGGGAGATGGAACAATTCAACGTTCCATTTATTGAAAAAGTACTTCGAATGGCCTTTAACTGAATTTCAATAGTTTTTTGTCCAATCAATTGAAAGAAGGCATAGGTTAGAAAAATATTTTATAAAGTTGAATGGATATGTACCACCGACAAACTGAAAGAAGAATTGATGAATGTTGAAAAATGATTAAGAGACAACTGCTACTCATAGAAAGTTATTAATAAATATAAAAGATGAAATCATGAGTCAATTGAAGCTAGACCACCATCGAAAACCTGGAAGCACTGGACGGCCGTTTCGTCCTATTATGGGACTCCTCAGCAGTGCGCATTCACGAACCCGCTCTCGCGAGCGAGATTCGAACCCAGGACCTACCAGTCTCGAGCGGAAGCCCTTAACCGATAGACCACTGAGCTGGCATCCAACGGTGTTAATGTCTAACTTCAACTGATCCACGAAGTTGAGCAACCATTCACCAATTGTTTTCAGTAAGTTGATATCTCACAACAGACGTAGTTGAACTCCACTGGTCACTGCTTCCCACTAGAACTCCAGGACATGTATCTTGAAGTCAGTCACTAGTGAACGAAACTAGCTTAGGATCCGAATATAGCGTTCAATCAACAAGACTTATCAGAATTCATCAGTCTAGTTCACAGTGCTTCTTATCAGCCACATACAACCTGAAACTACAATTACCTACACAAATATAATCGTTATTAACTGTTTGGTATTCTATGGTTTGTGAAAGCTTTTTACCTTCATATTGCTGCAAGTGAAACTATCAATTAGTTCCTTCTTCTAAAATTCCTAAGGGTGCTGATTGACTTCGTTCTTGATTGTTGCACATTGGTCGATTTGGAATCTTGATGTATCTCTGAGAATTTGAGACATGTTATATTTAAAGACTTTTCGGTTCATTATTACGACACTGAAACCTTTATCTCGTTTCATTATAATAATCTTATTACTCTCTTTTAAATTCTTTAGTGCTTACATATGTTCCTCAGTCAAATGTTTTGAATGTGGGGTTGCAGAAATATAGTACTGATTTGTAATACCAATCACATTAGATTCAAACCATCTTTTTCTGTCATCGTCGGTAGGTTTCAAGTCAGTATTCTGTTGCATTGGTAAATACACATAGATGTGACTAATTCAAGCAATCTGTCTATATTAGCAGTTCTTATTGTGGGGCGGTTGTAGAAGACGGTACTGCCTTTCTTAACCTCTGTGTCACGATTTCTTCCATAGCATCGTTTAAGAGTTGTAATTTTAAGAAAAATACCTTTTTCGGAATGGTAGGTACACTTATCCTTCTTTTTGTCTCCTTCATGTGTTTGTCGGTGAATTTCATTGGGTATCCATTCCTATGAAGCATATTTATGATATTCAGTCTGTTTATTTCCAGGCATATAGAATGGTGAAGCTTAGTCGGCCCCTCTACAGAAGAGTGCTACATCGAAGCACGGCGGGATAGCTGTTTATACACTGCTTACGCAGAACCATTACATAACACTCATAACCCATTTTTTATCTTTTTGTTTTGTTTTTGTTTGGGCAGACTCGTTTTTTTGCCACTCTTTTGAACCTTCAGTAATTATGCAATGACTCTTTGTAACATTCGTAATCGTTCTCGGATATTGGTCGAGTGGTTGATTAGGCCGATCTCCACCACCCGAGATATCGCTCACGTTAGACCATGGAAACAGTCCCATGATCCAGGAGGCACGATGAGTACGTGTGAGTCGGATTTTGTCTCCCAAACTCTCAGTCTGTTAAATTTATTTACACCGTTGCTATACTATACCGGTCTATCTTCAACATAACTTCCAACTAAACCCTCCTTTCATGTAAATAATCTAAACTTATTATGTCATTACAATTTTTAAATATCACAGGTTATAATCAGCTGACACGAACCAAACCAAACAGAATGAATCCATATTGATCTATTACTATCTTTGTTCTCTTTGCTCTCTTCAAAATGATTAAGGAAATTATGTATGTGAAATAAGGTGAATATTAAATTGTGATCTGTATTTCAATAGTTGAGTACTTAATATTATTATCATTAGTAGTAGTAGTAGTAGTAGTAGTAGTAGTAGTAGTAGTAGTAGTAGTAGTAGTAGTAGTAGTAGTAGTAGTAGTAGTAGTAGTAGTAGTAGTAGTAGTAGTAGTAGTAGTAGTAGTAGTAGTAGTAGTAGTAGTAGTAGTAGTAGTAGTAGTAGTAGTAGTAGTAGTAGTAGTAGTAGTAGTAGTAGTAGTAGTAGTAGTAGTAGTAGTAGTAGTAGTAGTGGCAGTAGTAATAGTAGTAATAGTAGTAGTAGTAGTGGTAGTGTTAGTAGTAGTAGTAGTAATAGTAGTAGTACTTTTTATTGTTAAAATATACCTAGTTTGTTTAATTGCTTCAATAAACTGACAAGTATTGAACATGTTTTTCACCTAAAAGAAGGACTTTGTTATTGAACATTAAGTGTTTATTTACAAAGATAATAAGAAGTGAGTACATCTATTTTGGTTAAACTTGTACAGTATGAATTGTAAAATTGTATTAGTTTATAAACAGATTATCATTTAAGTTTATTGATTAGATTATGTTATATCTCGAACTTTGATTTCTTAATCTGTCGTCTAATACTTGAGCACTCGAACGCTAGAACCCTCCCAAGTCACAATTCAGAAGACAGGAAACAATTAGAAGGAATGTTATTCCAAACAGTGTTGATTGTAGTGAAAAACTGTCAAGTACGTATAGTTTTTAGTAGAAACGAAATCATCATTATAGTTATCCAATCCGCACACAGGGAGTTATCGACATTGTCCAATAGGGAAGCTACACGCAGTGATTCTAGAATATTCTTCCAAAAGCCGATTGAATGTAATATGTCCGGCTCTTTTTGGACTTCTTAGAGCTTACTCAACTTCACCTGTGGACCATCCTTACAGATTGATTACAACTTGTAAATTGTATTGTAATCATCATCATTATTATGTCATCTCTTGCATATAGATATCATTTCTGAAGGCAGTAATTAATTTCCAATTCTTCAAAGGTTAGTTGCATATAGATATACTGGTTAACAGCAAATTACTAAATCTTACAGTGATAGTGGACATAGAATACACAAGATTTCTTGAATACTTAAAAGTCTTTAATTCTATGTCCGGATCCGTTAGCCAGACACTATCAACAACCAAATACTGTGGGAGAACACAAACCATATTCCAGTGGAGGAAGAAATCAGGAAGAAGTGCTGGAAGTGGATAGGACACACTTTAGATAAATCACTCAGCTACGTCACAAGACAAGCCCTCACATGGAAACTTGAAGGAAAAAGGGAAAGCGGAAGACCAAAGAACACATTACACCAAGAAATGGAGACAGACATGAGAAGAATGAACAAAAATTGAATAGAATTAGAAAGGAAGGGGGAGGACAGAGTGGTTTGTAAAATGCTAGTCGGCGGCCTATGCTCCATTGGGAGTAACAGACGTAAGTAAGTAAGTGTACATAAGCCTCAAAATACTAAGGGAATGAATAGGATGTATACTTATTTGTGCCATTGACTGCTATAAATATCCATTTTCTGATATTCCCCTTCTTGATTATTAATTTATACCTTTAGGTTATAAATTTTGAATAGAATAATTTACCGGACAATATTATAGATCGGAAGGGGTTTTGTAGAGAATTTAGTATTTTCATAGTTGAAATCATGAGTCAATTGAAGCTAGAACAATTATGGAAAACCTGGAAGCACTGCTGAGGAGTCCCATAATAAGATGAAATGGCTATCCAGTGCTTCCACATTTTTCATGGTGGTCTAGCTTCAATTGGCTTATGATTTCAACTACGTACAATATTAGTCAGAACACTTCAAGTGACACTATTTGTTATATTTTTAATAATCAAATTATCTAAGCAAGTCAACATGTAGGAGCATTAGTAGAATACTTTAAATCTTAAGTAACGAGATTTAAATACATTTACAAATGGTAGGATCTCGATGAGATGACCAAATAGATTGTTTGCAAATATGTTTAATGATAGACTGAGAATGACTGTACACAACTTAGTAAAAGGATTAAGTGAAAATGTGTTAATTATAATGTCATAAATAATTCACCAGTTGAATTTTTCCTACTGACTTCTATCTTACTGTGTAATCTATCTGAAACGGATGTAAAGTTGATCTTGGAAGTTTAGACATAACTTTGTTTATACATTTCAACATTGATGGCATAAAAGTAATTTTATTTATTATTTCTAACCGTTGATGCAGTCAGACAAGTGATACGTTTTAATGGTTGAACGTTATATTCGAATCCTAAGCTGATAGTCTCGTAACCCCCAAGCTAGAACTACACATCGACTGGAACACGAGAGAAAAGAAGCCAAAATATACGGGAAGCACTTTACTCCAAAGATTCATTTATGTACCGAAAATATAAGGTTTTTATAATAATTTAAAAGTCCTTGGGTTTTCTCTGAAAATTCTAGAATACTATTCAACATAGTAGCAGTATAGTGATCAATCAATTAGAATCTCTACATGTGACTTTTCATCTTCGTGATATTTCTAGCAAAACTTCTCTGTCAAACGTTGATTAGATAAAATGCTTCTTAATGTTTCTTGAGGTTGTCATGTCGATTGCAAGAAAAATTTACAGGATTATCCCAACACAAGATCAATTAATCTCGCTATTCTTATTCAGTTTGCATACCACTAATATTCTGGGGATAACTCTAAATTATGTGCATGTTTATTGTGCAATGATATATGTGTTATTTAAATCACTCTTATCCAGCTGGTAATTAATGTCTACGTGTATGTAATGTGATTTACGTGACTGAGATCGAGAGTACTTCTACAAGGCCTCTAAGAGTATGTGTTTGCACTTATCTTCACAAGTGAACTGTTGAAAACAGTAAGCATATTCGTGAAACATAATGAATGTATAAGTACTGAAAATAGTGACAAACAGGATGAATCTACATATAAAAGAAGTAGCGATCAGTGATGTTATGTAATAGTCATTGTCATCGTATTATACCGTTTTGTATGACCCAATTCTGTACGACAAGAAAAAGATTTTCTAATTCACTGAAGAATTAAATTCATTATATATTTTTTTGTTTCTTATCTTTACATTCATTAATGCTGTAAATATGTTGGTTGGAGTATTCTGTTTCTAAAACATAGGAATGTATTGACCTCCAAATACCCTGGTACGAATGAGAGTGAGGAGAGTCAGCTCTCCTTCTCGAAATGCTTTCATATGGCGACGTGCATACAACCACTACCACAGAAGTCCTATTCACTGCCTTCTCGCGGCATTACTATTGTTTACGAAATTGAGAAGACAAAAAGCGAATGTCCGGCGCTATAAGCCGGTTGGTGGACACGTAGGGTCCATTTAAAGGGATTGAGAAACCCTGATTCCCAACCGATGGTGTACATGGGTTCCAGAATGTTGAAGAAACAAATGGTGTATGAACCGGTCGTTGATCACCGGCTACCAATGAACTGCATATCTTTACGTTGCTTCACTATCTTATGGATCAGACGTTTAGATTAAAAACTTGAGTTATGGCTCCCTACGAAAACCACCTGCTTTGGTCTTAGTACCCGGGAAGTAGTGGCTAGCAGTGGAATCCAGTTTGACGCGCGTTTAGTCGCATTTGGTACTCGTCAGCTGGATTTACCTGCATCTTAGAGTTGATGATCACTTTGGAACTAGAACCTAGTATCTTTCGCTTCAAACGCCATCGCGTTATCCACTCAGCTACTGAGTCCTTATAGCCACTTGCTTGTGCGATGGGGTGAAGTTTAAATTCACTTAATATTGTTTATTTGAATACGCACAGTATGCACATATACCAATTAGAAACTGACCAGTTGCAGTCCCAAACATCAATCGGAAGATTCAAACAAACAATACTAATTGAATGTAAATGAAATAGATCCTAGAATATATCACAATTATTCTTCAAACGATTAACTATAATTATCAATAACTTCTACATGCACCTTAATTTTGTTTAATCCTGATTCTAATTTCACAACATATAACAATCAGTAGGAGATTAACATGAGAAGATGTATGATTTAAGTATTTAATTATTCAACTCTCTGTTGTTGAGATGGTGGAGAAGATTTGTAGCTCAGGTGGATTATTTTGATGGAGTTTTGTTCTTTGAACTGGATTGGTTTGGTCGTGAAGCTTTTATCGTCCTTCTAAATCACATCGTCAGCACAAATTTCGGGTAGAAGTGAAGTGCTGATGATATCGTTCAGAAGGACGACGAAAGCTCCACGACCAAACTATCCAGTTCAGATAACAAAACTCCATCAAAATTCTCTGTTGTATTTACAATTCTTCTTCTTCTTCAATACTCAATCATCTTTAAGTTTATTTGGATTTGATATATACGACATTAGTAATTTAGAGAAGGACTCAAGTATACTTCCATTATACTTATTTCTTAACGATTATGAAATAAAGAAGAAAAGAAACGATTAGCACAATTTAACCTTTGTGACCTAAAATCTAATTGGATTATATTGTATTTTAAATTTATTTATCTAATATGACCTAGTCAGGTTTACAGGTCAAGAAGGTCAATTCATAATAATAGTGTAACATTTGAACAATAGGAATCCCTTTCATTTGGTTCATGCTCATTAACTACTTATAATCATATTTATATTTAAAGAAAACTGTCTCAAATAATAAAAATTTCTGATCTATATCTGTATATATATCTGTGTAAGATCATTGAAGATTGATATAGAATGCATAAATAGGGTTACATATTATTTATATAGAATTGGGAAATTAGTATGGTGGATTGATTGAAGTTAGACATCGTTGGATGGCAGCCAGCTAAGTGGTCTAGTGGTTAAACGTACGAGCGCGAGACTGATAGGTCCTGGATTGGAATACGTACTGTTGATGAGTCCCACAATAGGACAAAATGACCGTTCAGTGCTTCCAGGTTTCCTATGGTGGTGATTGTAATGGAAGTATATTTAAGTTATTACATCAGTTTAGTAGTTTCTCGATTCTATATTTGTTATACCCTATTGAAGACATCAGCACGGATAACTCTTCGAACATATTAATGGACTATTATTTTATATCTTTCCTCGTTAGCGTTTTTTTAGTGAGTTAGTTTTCTATGGAATTTGGATGCTAACCATATGCCCAACCATCCTTCTTTATCCGGGCTTGGGACCAGCAGCTAAAGGCGGAGTTGAAGAACATCTAGAAATCTAAAACCACTGTCAACCAACACCGAGATCAGAATTTTCAATACAAATATCAAGAAAGTTCTACTGTATGGGGTGGAAACTTAACGAACTACGAAAGGCATTATCCAGGAGATACAAGTGTTTATTAACAGTTGTCTACGCAAGATATTTCGGATCCGTTGGCCAGACACTATCAACAACATTCTACTGTGAGAGAGAACAAATCAGATTCCAGTGGAGAAATAATTCAGGAAGAAGCACTGGAAGTGGATAGGACACACTTTAAATAAATCACTCAGCTACGTCACAAGACAAGCCCTCACATGGAAACTTGAAGGAAAAAGGGAAAGCGGAAGACCAAAGAACACATTACACCAAGAAATGGAGACAGACATGAGAAGAATGAACAAAAATTGGATAGAATTAGAAAGGAAGGGGGAGGACAGAGTGGTTTGTAAAATGCTAGTCGGCGGCCTATGCTCCATTGGGAGTAAAAGGCGTAATTACGTAAGTAAGTAAGACAGTAAGTCAGTAAGCACGTAAGTAGGTAGTTAAGTAGCAACTGTTATGAAATTAAAATCTAAGCTTTCCACATGATATCTTAGCAACCAGCTACAAAAAATGTTTGATACTTATTGACTATAATTTTTTTTTCTTAAATAGTTCACTGATTAAAATCACACCATAAATCTAATACTCCTTGTAACTATGCATACAGATAAACAAATTAGTTTGACCTTGTTATTGAATTGAATTATGCTGATATGAATATTTAACTTACGCCTATTACCTCTCGTGGAGGAGTATAGACCACCCACCAGTTCTGGTTAGCGTTTTCTCAGCGAGTTAGTTTTCTACGGGATGGGATCGCTAAACCCATGCCCAACCCTCCTCCTTAACCTGGGCTTGGGACCGGCAGTAACTCTATAGGAGCTACAGGCGGAGTTGAATATTTTATTAGAAAGTTTATATGCTTACTTTCCTGAAAAAAAACTTCATTAACAAAATAAGCTTGATTTTATTCACACTTACTTAAATTGAATTAATGTCTACTAACACGTAAGATACCGTCATTAAGTGTTATAAACGGTAGGATACTTGTTATAATGCCCTGGTACGGCCGAGTATGGGGAGAGTCTGCTCTCCCTCTCCAAATGCTCTAACATGGCCACGCGTATATAACCTCTGTCAGGGAAGTCCTACTGACTGCCTTCTCGTGGCATCACAATTGATTACAAAATTGAGAGGACGAAAAGCGAATGTTCGACGCTTTAGTCGGGTTGGTGGACACGGAAAGTCCACCTAGGGCAGTTGGAAAACCCTGATTCCAAACCAATGGTGCACATGGTCTCCAGTATCCTGAGGGAACAAATGGCCACCGGCTACCATGGACTTTATCCCCTTACGATGCTCCACTACCTTGTGGATCAGATCTTTGAGTCAAAGGCTCGGGGCGTGACCCCCTGAGAAAACCACTTGTTTCAGTTTGGACACCTGGTCAGTATCACAACCGTCACACAAATCAAATAAGATTTGCACGGCGCATATGTATCTGTTGCTTCCTTGTACCAATAGCTATGTGTTGAAATAAATAAAAACATGTTATAACAGTCCTTTTACTTTTTACATGTATGTAGGACGTCAATGTACCTTAGACGAATATCTACACTAGATGATTCCCTCCCAGTATCCATTCTACAGGAATTCAACACAACTCATATCAAGAACACGTGATTAGCCTGACTAGAACGTCAATATATTTCCACACACCCAAAATCCGACACAATCCAATAACAAGGAACAGTCCATCGGTAACAGTCAGGATAGGGGAATATATAACACATAACACCTGTCATCCTATCTACATGTCTAACTCAGCAAAACAACCAATCATCATCATTCTCATCCACACATCATTTTGTTTTCACCATTGATAATATCTTGATTTAGTAGTTGTATTAAAAGTAGGATAATTTGTGCTATGAAGAGTAATCTCAATGGATCAATCATTGGTGAAATTTGTTTTTATTATAAGAACTTGGAATCATTTGTGATGGAATAAAACTGATCTCCTGTTTTAATTTGTCTTATTGATTGAATGCTATATTCAGATCCTAGGCTAGTCTCGTAACCCCCAAGCTAAATCTACACAGCAACTGGAACACGAGAGAGAAAAGGTACAAAGTATACGAGAAGCACTTTACTCCAAAGGTTCATTTATGTACAGAAAACATAGGGTTTTTATAGCATTTTAGAAGTCCTTGGATTTTTCTGAAAATTCTAGAATACTACAAATCAAAGTAGCAGTGTAGTAATCAGTCAATCAGAAAACTCTACATGTGACTTTTCACTTTCGTGGTTTTTCTGGCAAAATCTCTAGTGAACATTGATTAGATAAAATGATCCTTAGTGTTTACTGAACCTTTCTTGTCTATTGCGAGAAATTTTCAGGACCGTCCCAACATGTTCAATGTGTTTCACTGATCCCAAGCAACTCCAGGTTGTATCTTTTCATTTCTACAGCGAATTGGAAGACTCTCCCTGTCTCTCACATTGTACGAACATTTCATGTACCTAAATTAATGGTTGCACTGGTTGTCAGAAGAGGCATCAGCCTCATGACTTCCGAAGGAACTCAGTTTTCATCATGAGACGTCATAACTCGCGATATTTCTAGCTATACTTTTAATCAAACGCTGATTGGATAAAATGCTTCTTAATGTTTCCTGAGCTTGTCATGTCTATTGCGAGAAATTTTCAGGATTGCCTCAACAATTTTCAATAGAGATTTCAAGCATCTTCAGTTATATGTAACTGTCGGCTATGAATACTTCAATGTAGGACAGTCCAGAATGTCGAATAAATGAAAAAAACTATACAATTGAAGTTATGGCTTAAAGTGAAATCTTTAGTAAAAATTACATTCTAGTATATAGAAGTTATCTACTAAATGAATGGAACAATAATCAAAAGCACTTCATGGTTCTTATTCAATCAAATATTAATTATCAGACGGGGGTTTTGTGGAGATTTTAATAATTTTATAGAGTTGAGATCATGAGTTAATTGAAGCTAGACCACCATGGAAAACCTGGAAGCATTGAACGGTCGTTTCGTCCTATTGTGGGACTTCTCGGCAGTGAGCAATTTAGTGGATAGGTTGCAGTTAGACATTAACACCGTTAGATGCCGGCCGGCTCAGTGGTCTATCGGTTAAGTGCTCACGTGCGAGACTGACATGTCCTGGGTTCGAATCTCGCAAGGCGGGATCATGGATGCGCATTGCTGAGGAGTCCCATAATAGGACGAAACGGCTGTTCAGTGCTTCTACGTTTTCCATGCTTGTCTAACTTCAACTGACTCATGGTTTCAACTATGAAAATAATAAATTGCCATTTTATTTTGGGACAATTGTCGGAATTTTATGATACACAAAACAATCTTTAAGTTATCTAAACTTTCAAAAATTATCCAACTAGAAATCGAATGTTTCTTTTTTTCAGTCTAATTGCATATTAAACAGCCATATTTTAATTAGTCATGGTGAATAGTTTATCTTGAGGTCACCACCTTTGATCTGATCAACTTTTAATTATTCTGACCTAAAACTTGGAGTATTCTAACCAATCCCCTAGAGTTGACTTAGCTCTAAGTACTATATGATATAACGAAAACGTTAATGGGGTAGTGTAGTAAACCAGAACGACCAGTTAAGAACAAAGAAGGTAAATTAATCTGCGAAATTGAAGAACAGTAAAGCAGACAGAAATATTTGAAGAGGTCTTGAATAGATTAGTCCCACTAGATATCAAATAAGCATTTACAGATGTTATTCTACCACCGACCGAAGAAATCAGATTGGTCATTGGACAACTCAAGAGTAGGAAAGCAGCAGGAACTTTCAACACAACGACTGAAGCACTTGATATGGAGACCCAATCAGAGATAGCCTAATGAAAAGCTCAAGCAGTGGCAATTAGAGGTCATCTAAAGGTCAAGTGCATTTCATTGGGTCAATTTCCTAAGGATGGAGTGGTATATATATAAATGAGTATTTGTGCATTCTGTCCAGTAGACCAATATACTTTCTCGTTCAGTGTGTACTCGCTGAAGTAATCGGTTGGGGAAATTAGAGCATAGCGCACCGTGTACCAGTGTGAGATTTCGGACAACGCTCGTCACAACAACACTGAATTAAGACATGGAAGTAACTGCAAAGGTACTCCACACTTTATTCAGAAAGATTTGTGAGGAAGAAAACATGCCCACAGACTGTAAAGAATGTGTTGGGGTGATCCAGAAAATTTCTCGCAATAGACAAGAAAGGCTCAGGAGACACTAAGAAGCAATTTATCCAATCAGTGTTCATTAGAGATTTTGCCAGAAAAATCACGAAAGTGAGAAGTCACATGTAGGGTTTCTGATTGGCTAATTAGTATACTGCCAATATGTTTAATAGTGTTATATCTAGAACTTTGATTCTTGCTATGCTGCGTACTACTAGACTATTGAACGACCAAACCCGAAACGTCGCAAGAGAGAAGACTAGTAAGTAGGAATTTTATTCCCCCAAAGTGTCAAAATATAGTACAAAAATCTCATATATTTATAGTCTTTTGGCTGAAAGTAAATCATCATTTCGGACAACCGATAAGCACATAGGGAGTCATTCTTATCCATCCAATAGGGGAGATACACGTCGACATTCTAGAATGTTCTCCTAGTGGTGATTGGATGGAATGTCTTCGGCTGTTTCTGGGCTGCCTAGAGTTTGTCAACGAGCCATCCTTACATCTCCTCTCTTTGAAGTCTGTGACGTATGACGTTTTTTGGATCTACATGAAACATTGTTGTTTCTCTCCTTTTTCTGTTCAGCGCCCTTATCGGATGGGCACTTTCACTCTTACGTTTTTCAAGTCGTTGGTTGGGGCCTTCTTTTGGGCTTTTCTACTTTAAATCTACCAGCATGTGGAACGGTAGTTGTGTATCTAATGTTGCTGTTCATATGAGATTTCTCAAAAGTGCGCATCCAGGACTTGAACTTAGGACCTTGAGTTTCACGCGCAAACGCTTAACCTATGAATCGCAGAGCCTGAGTCCAATAGTGTTAACGTTTAACTTTAATTTTGTTGTACATCAAAGTAAATCATTATCTTATCAATAAACAATGTAATATACATTTATTAAAATTTTATTAATGTACATAATCTCATATCATTGAATAGAATCATGAGTAACAAGTCGAACATGACTAACTAGCCAGATGATAGCTGACATTTATGCTTTAGGAACGAAAATTTACAAAAATATCTATAGTTTAAGTTGATCCGATTTAGTTTTAAGCATTGCACGAATAGCTCGTGCTCTCATTTCAAGTTCTGTAATTTCTTGATGAACTAAATCCTATAGTACATAATGAAATTAAAAAGAAAATTGTGAACAGGTAGGAATTGAAATAAATATAAAGTAATTATGAATACATTTAAACTAAAATAAGTAAAATATGCCCCCAAACCCCTTGGTACGGCTGAGAGTGAGGAGAGTCAGCTCCCCTCTCCGAATGCTCTCAGATGGCCACGCGTATATAGCTTCTGCAACGGAAGTCCTACTCAATGCCTTCTCGTCGCATCACTGTTGTTTACGAAATTGGGAGGACGAGAAGCGAATGTCTGGCGCTTTAACCGGGTTGGTGGACACCGAAAGTTCACATAGGGGAGTTGAAAAACCTATATTCCGAACCAATGATGTACATGGGCTCCAGTATCCTGAAGGAACAAATGGCGTATGAACCAATTGTTGGTCACCGGTTCCCATTTGACCGCATCTCTTTACGATGCTCCACTACCTTGTGTATTAGACTTTTAGGTCAAAGGCTCCGGATGTGGCCCCCCTAAGAAAATCGCCTGCTTCGGTCTGTACACTCGGGCGTTATCATAGCCCTCACATAATTAAATGAAATGACAATTTTTTGTGTGGCGCATATATATCTGGTGCCCCCTTGTACCAATATTTATGTATTCAAATAAAATAATAAATCTCTATTACGCAACAGTATGACTCCAACGAATGAATGTGAAACGAATGAACAATTCTTATAGTTATAGTTATAGCTATAGCTATTGTAAGCAAAGATGGATAGTGGCTAGCAGTGGAATCCAGTTTGACGCGTATTTCGTCCTATTTGGGACTCGTCAGCTGGATGTACCTGAATCTCAGAGTTGATGTTCATTCTATGACTCGAACCCAGTACCTTTCGCTTCAAACGCCATCGCGCTATCCACTCGGCTACTGAGTCCTGATAGCCACTTGCTTGTGCGATGGGGTAAAGTTTAAATCCATTTACTATTGTTTGTTTGAATCTTCCCATCGATGTGTTAGGACTGCAACTGGTTAGTCTCTAATTCAAACAAACAATACTAAATGAATTTAATAAACTACTATGTTTGTTATGTAAAGGAATGAGCAATATTGTGATTAATGTTTTCGCATAAATTTCCTACTGCTAATACAAACATCGTACTACTAATACAACCTATCAGTAGTATGAATCAGTCTAAAAGTGTATAAAATATAAACAAAAATCTTATAACATAGTTCTACAGTATGATTAGAAAGGACATGATGTAGAGCTATATACTCACAAGCAGTGAGAGATCATGAACTATCAAGGATCGGGCTCAGAACTATTTAGGTCATTGATAAGCTTAATACAATAAAGAAAAATAATTGTAATTGTACATTACACATACTACTAAATCCTTTGAATCTGATATATGACAAGTTTCTCCAGTTGAATGTTTTTCCTCCGTTCTAACATCTTTGGGACTTGTACAAGACCAGGATTTTGTAAATGATTCTGAATTTGTATGAAGTTTATCGCTAATAATCCCATGATCAGTGGCTTTTTGGATATCAAATTGATTTTCAAGTACCTAAGAAAAAAGGAATATTTCTTAAGTAAAGTAATCATTCAATAAAGCAAATAATAAAAACGTTGATTTCTCATTCCTACAAAAGGTAGGATAGATCAGTGGTAACGTCTCTGACTGTGAAGCTAAGTGACCCGGGACCGAATCCGTTAGGGAGCACATCAGTTCCCTCAAGATTACAGGTGCACCCTGTTGATGAGTGCCAAGTAGCACGGAACCTAGGTCCAGGGTTTCTTGTTGACTATCTTCAACTACCATTTTATCTTGACATAGTAAACGCAATGTCGAGTCACGTAGACTGGTGGACACATTGCAACTTAATCGATAAGATTCAATGTGCACTAAGAAGGATCTGACATATATAACATTGATCACCACCCAGTGATCAATCAATTGTAAAAACTATTCCAGGGATTTCAGTACATTTTTGCAATATTTTGAGTAAATGAAAAATATCCAGTTTAAATATTCTAGTCGGCTTTTTTATTATTGACGTATAATTGGCAAACTTATTGTTCTTTGAATTGATTACACTAGGCGAACATTAACAAAGCTTAATCTGAAAAAACGGTGTTTTTATTTTAGTCAATGGGTCAAGGAAAAGAAAAGGATAGAATAGTTTCGTTCACAGTATTAAAGTCAGAGTCGTGGATTATTATCACAGAGCATGAATGTATCAGATGGTAAACATAATGTTATTTGGAGAAAATTTGTTGGAATACAATTGTGTTTAATGAATACAATGAACAATGCATATTGTAAGCAACTGTCGATACACTGACTGTAGAGCGATTATGTAAAAATAAATAACTCAATTGTCACATCAAGTAATAGTGACTTACAGATAACATTTACTTTCAAAGACCATGTTTCACAGCCATAAGGTAAACTATGGCGACCTGCTGTGCAATACACTTCCCCTTTGCTAAGGTGACGGACGTGTCACTCCTAAAGAGCTTTAACCAGGCATCTGGCAATTTTCGAGGCTAATATTTTAGACATTATATTATTCAAAATGATCGCTATATGACTGTCGAAAGAGGTTTTTACCCCCTATAGACTGAAACGATCAGTGATTAGGACCAGTCAGATGAGATTGCAACAAGTCCAAAGATTCCAGATAACACTTCAATCAATCTAACTGCTAAAGTTGAACATTAATTTTGAAGATATATTTATAGGCTAAATTTTAATCTTACTGAGGTCTTACAATATCATTCAGTCCATCTGATATAAATTTAAAAAGGTGAACTATTTGACATCAAATTTAAAGGGAATTAATAAAAAATGAGAGTAAAATTCCGAAAGCTGATCATAGGATGTTAAGTAAGAGACGATCTTATTGAACAACAAAAAGTTTCAAGAAAAGCTACTTTAAAAAACTCACTGAACACAAGGCGGTAGTTGAATCAGCATCGTGAAATTGCATTTCAGAAGTCATTTTACATACTGAATTTGGTTTAGGAGAATGAGAGCAGTTATCTTTTTCGGAGTTGGCAATCTCACTTTTGTTACCGGGATTACGAACCAATTCAACCGGATCAAGGTTTACTGTTCCACTTAGAATGGCTTTTATTTGATCGATTGACAAATCATTCAGCTCCTGAATACATCTATGCCACAACTCCGAAATCCCAAGTTGGTAATCACTTCCATCAAAAGATACATAGGGTTGGACAATACATGAAACCTTGGAGTTTTTATCAGATGAATGTTTCATATCCCTACGTTCTCGTCGGGCACATATTGACAGTAAATTAGCAGACACCAGATCTTTGAGCTTAGAAGGACCGATAGAAATCCAAGCTTCAGAAAGAAGCTGATAATGATCGTCAATAAAGTGATCGAGCTGAAAAATTGGCCTTTCTTTGTGACAAAGACTTAAACCGGAACGAAGATTTTCAATACTGTTACGTAAGGCCAGGATCTCGTCTTCGCAATTGTATGGACATCCACAAGATGCCAATTTATTCTTATGCTTTTCAGAACGATTACGCTTCTTATCAGCATCAACCATATTGCATACTTTTTGAGTAAGATTGAGTATTTTATCTTTTTGACGACTGTTCGATGCATTTCGATTAACTGATCTCTTTTTAACTTTCTTACGATGTGAACGACCGTGGGGTTTTGTGTGATAAGTTTTATGCTTTTCATTTGATGAACTTGAAGAGCTGTAGCGAGAGTGAGAACGACCCATCATTTATCATAATAAGTACTCTAAAACTAACTTTAGAAGAGTATAACAAACTTACATTAATCCCTTTCAGATAAAATGATGCAGAAAATAACTGAAACAATATTAACAGTTCACGAGATGACATGTTAAAAACGTACTTGGTAATTTTATTTTTATTATTTTATTTAAACACATAAATATTGGTACAAGGAAACACCAAATAAATATGCGCCTCACAAATCTCATTCGATATGTGTGAGGGCTGAGATACTGCCCAGGTGCCCGAACTGAAGCAGGTGGTTTTCTTAGAGGGGCCACATCCCGAGCCTTTGACCTATAGGTCTAATCCACAAGGCAGTGGAGCATCGTGAGGAGATGCAGTCCCATGGTAGCCGGTGCCCAACAGTTGGTTCATACGCCATTCGTTCCTACAGGATACTGGAGCCCATGTGCACCATTGGTTTGGAATCATGGTTTTCCAACTCCCATAGGTGGACTCGCCTTGTCCACCAACCCGGTTAAAGCGCCGGACATTCGCTTTTCGTCCTCTCACTTTCTTAAACAACACCCCCGCCACGACCCGTTGCTGCTACTTTGACGTGGTGGTCGGGCTTGCCTGTCGTGATGATCCAATCGAGCTATGCTGACTGGAACAATCGTTCCTCAAGGTCCTATCATGCCAGACAGGTCGGTTGAAGAGCGGTGAGACTAAAAGCAGCAATCCCAAGGTCTGAAGGCGAAGTCGTACTGCCGACTGTACAGAGGTGTGAAAGCAGTAAGGTGTTTCCTTCAGACAACCAGCATGACAGCGATGCTGCCTTCCCACAAGGAGGGGTGGGGTGAGAAAATGTCGACCCTAAAAATGCCCACCTCGCCTTATCCCACGGATTTCCGTCTCCGGCGGTAAGGTCCTTTGAAGAACGGAGCTAACACGTCAAAAATCCCCCATAAAAAGGCCGTGCGTGACTGGCCTCAAGCAATTGTCCCTTGGGCACTGCGGTCACGCTCCCAGGTCGTTAAGACCAACACTAATCCAACTTCTTTTCCAGGTCCCTCAAGAAATACCCTTCCACGGTGTGGGCAGCCGGGAAGTGATATTAGCCCTCATACCCACAACTGCACTCGAGCCCAAGTCGGTCACTTTCAAATCCTTCCTACACCTAATAACACTCTTATCTCCACGACTAACCCTTCCCACGTCCTTTTATCACCTCGCACCGCTAAAGCAAACGATTCCAGTACACGGAACGTTGTTTCTGGTCACCTGAAACCACTCTCCAAACTACATGTAGGAACGTTTAATGTCCAAACATTGTGCCAAATAGGACAACAGGCTTCCTTAGCTAGGACTCAAGAATCTTACACCATCGATGTGTGCTGCGTCTCCGAAACGCGCATACAAGATCCGAGTAGTGTCATTCATTTGACCGCACCTAATCAAAATAAAGATTCATCTCGATACACACTTCGTGTATCTGGAAGCCCTGATGCTGCTTCCCGTGGCCTCGCTGGAGTAGGTATAGCATTAAGTCCTAGGGCAGAACTAGCTCTTTTAGACTGAATCCCAGTAGACAGTCGTCTATGCGCTGTTCGACTAAACGGATCAGTAAGGACGAGGAAAGATAGGGACATTTGTCGTTGCCTCTTCGTCGTCTCTGCCTACTCTCCCACTGACTGCAGCTCAGACGATATAAAAGATGAGTTTTACAGGAAACTTTCTGACCTTCTCCGAAAAGCTAGGCGTTCTGATGTAGTAATAGTAGCAGGTGACTTTAATGCTCAAGTAGGTAAACTAAGTGAAAGGGAAAGACACCTGGGTGGATCTTATTGTGTTGTGGCGAAAAGAACAGATAATGACGACCGTCTGTTGCAGCTGTGCTCAGATAACCGCCTATTTCTTGCAAATACTAACTTTAAGCATAAGGAAAAACATCTTTTGACATGGCGACCCCCGAATTCGTCCCAACGTTAGACCCAAATAGATCACATCGCTATCAGCCACCGATGGAGGGGCTCGATAGAAGACTGTCGCTCATTCTGCAGCCCATGTTTAGATTCAGATCATGCTCTAGTGTGAGCACGTAACTGTCTGCGTCTTACTGGTCGTAGGAAAGACACTGCAGGGAAGCCTCTAAGGGTTCTACTTAATGATAGCCAAGCTAAGAATATATTTCAGGAACAACTAGAAAAACAGTTAGGCAGCCATGTAAGTTGTGTCCACCCGAAGCAGCGTGGAATGACATCCGAAAAGCTGTGGAAACAGCAGTGATATCCACTAGTAAGGTAGACCATAACGTTAGGGAGAAAAAATGGATCTCGGCAGCATCTACCGCATTGATAGATGCTCGTAAACTCATCCCACCTGGCTCTGAGCATAACGAAGAGCGGAGTCAACTTAATGATCGTGAACAGTGGTGGGTAGCGAAAGCAAGAGAGATGGAAAAGGCAGCGGCAATAGGTAACAGTAGGCAGCTATTCAGACTCGTTAAAGAAACCGGTATTAGGAACCCGAATATCAGTGAAACCATCTCAGATAAAGATGGGCATATCATTCATTCTCAATCCAGGAGATTGGATCGATGGGCAGAACACTTTAGGGATCAGTTCAACTGGCCTTCAGCTACACTTCAATTACCCACGATCCCCAGTCGTCCTGAATGGCAAGGTAATGTAAGTCCTCCAACCCTCTGCGAGGTTAAAAAAGCTATAGGAAATCTGAAGCGCGAAAGAGTAGCAGGCCCTGACAGGTTGACCCCTGAGATTTTTAAGGATGGTGGTCCAGTACTAGCAGCGAGATTGACTGAGGTCTTAGGTAGAATCTGGGAACTGGACGTAATTCCATCTGACTGGTCCAAATCGCTGATTGTGCCAGTCTATAAGAAAGGACAAACACCCTCTTGTGACAATCACAGAGGGATCAGTTTGACTAATATAGTGTCTAAAATATTAGCTTCAATAATACTAGGTCGCCTAACCAAAGCTCGTGAAGAGCAGACTAGAGAAAACCAGGCTGGTTTTCGACCTGGACGTGGTTGTATAGACCAGATATTCACCCTACGTCAGGTCCTAGAACATAGACACAAATTCAGACGTCCCACAATAGTAGTATTTCTTGACCTTAAGGCGGCATTTGACTCCGTTGATCGTGAGGTTCTATGGCAGTGTTTGTCAGTGAAAGGAGTACCAAAGAAGTACATTAACCTCATAAAGGCTCTCTACTCGAACACAACTGGTCGAGTTAGAGCCTATGGCGAACTGTCATCAGAACTGATTACCTCTAGTGGCGTTCGTCAGGGCTGTCCACTCTCCCCATTCTTGTTTAACTTTGTCATTGACATACTTTTAGAGATAGCACTTTCATCATCTCAATCTCCTGGAGTTGAACTTTTACCAGGAGGCTCACTTGTAGACTTAGAATACGCCGACGACATAGTTTTACTCAGTGAAGACGCTGACAACATGCAGAGTCTTCTGACCACTATAAGCAAATATGCAGGCATGTTCGGGATGCGATTCTCTCCCTCGAAGTGCAAAATGTTACTTCAGGATTGGGTTGCAGCGACACCTGAACTAATGATAGGGAGTGAAGTAGTTGAGCGTGTAGATCACTTCACTTATCTTGGGAGTCTCATCAGCCCTTGTGGTCTGGTATGCGACGAAATCTCAGCACGGATACAGAAGGCTCATCTAGCTTTCGCCAACTTGCGTCATTTATGGAGTAGGCGAGATATCCGTCTAGCAACCAAACGACGAGTTTACTGTACAGCAGTTCGCTCCGTCCTACTTTATGGCAGTGAAACATGGCCAATAAGAGTAGAGGATATTCGTAGGCTACTAGTGTTCGATCATAGGTGTCTTCGACGCATTGCTCGTATATCCTGGGACCACCGGGTAAGTAATGCAGTTGTTAGGAAACGAGTACTAGGTAGGGATGGCAAATCGATTGATGAAGTAGTGAAGCTTCATCAGTTGAGATGGCTGGGACATGTGTTACGTATGCCCGACCACCGACTGCCCCGACGTGCAATGTTTCATGGTGTAGGAGTAGGTTGGAAGAAAGCTAGGGGTGGCCAGACCAAAACGTGGCACAAATCCATGAAGTCACTGACAAGTGGACTGTGCCATGTTGGTAGGTGTAGACTACCTGGTTGGGATTCGCGAGATGATAGCAACCGATGGTTAGAGACCTCGAATGACATGGCTCAAAATCGTTTGCAATGGCGAAGGTGCATCCATTCTTTGTGTTCTACCAAATTCTAATCTTCTGAATTCCTCATGCCTTTATCTTTTTCTCTTTCCAAATTTATTTCACTGTACTATACTCCTTCAATAATTCCTTCAAACCCTAATCTTTTGGATTTCTGATTATACTCCTTCTACTTCTACCACTATGGGATTTGAATCGACAACTGCATCTCTGTGCTAATGTGGTATGGCAGCGCGAACTGATGTACGTACGTACGAAGTTCTACGTTGTGACTGACTGACTGATACTGCCCGGGTGCCCAAACCGAAGCAGGTGGTTTTCTTAGAGGGGCCACACCCGGAGCCTTTGACCTATAGGTCTGATCCACAAGGCAGTGGAGCATCGTGAGGAGATGCAGTCCCATGGTAGCCGGTGCCCAACAGTTGGTTCATACGCCATTCGTTCCTACAGGATACTGGAGCCCATGTGCACCATTGGTTTGGAATCAGGGTTTTCCAACTCCCATAGGTGGACCCTCCGTTTCCACCAACCCGGTTAAAGCGCCGGACATTCGCTTTTCGTCCTTTCACTTTCGTAAACAACACCCCCGCCACGAAAAGGCAGTTTGTAGGACTTCCCTGACAGAGGCTATATATTTGCGTGGCCATGTGAGAGCATTTCGAGAGGGAGAGTAGACTCTCCCCACTCTCGGCCGTACCAAGGCATTTGGTTTGCTGTTAAGCAAGACTATGCTTGTATAAGTTTTTGAGCTACAATCTGGTCACTACTTTGCTAAGTGTAAAATATAGGGACAGAAGAAATTGGGTTCTTCCAAACGACAACGATATGTGATGAGGCAGAGGTC